TTTTTCAACTGGATTATTCACCTTTATCTTGTTCTGGATATAATGGACTTCTAAGAGAACAAACAGGTCTATTATGGAGTAGGTGAAACCAGGCTGTTCCTTGGAGGCAAGTCTTTTGAAACTCCATCTGACATACTTTGAGCATGTTGCAAGGAGGAATCAGTCCTGGAGAAGGACAACATACTTGGAAGGGTGTAGAGACAGTGCAAGAAAGGAAGACCCTTGGAAGAGATGGATTGACTCCGTGAGTGACTGGGGTATTGGGGGTAGGTGTGTCTGACTCAATGAAATTAGCTCAAGATAGAGCAGTGTTCACAGACATTGTACATAGGGTTGCTCTGCATAGAAGTCGACTCAAAGGCACATAACCACCACCAACCACAAGAGTGTTTGCAGTGTTCTTACTGCTTTTATGAAAGAACACATTTTTGAAGATTACTACTTCATAGTTTTAACTGATGTCATCTCTAGTTCATTTTGACTTGAAGTATACATCTGTTCATACTAAGTAAATGCCATATATTTTCTTTGATTGCTATAGTATTGAAATATATATATATATAGCTATATTTGAAGCATATTACTAATAAAAGTTAGTGGCATGGAATTTTTTTAAAGGAAAAAGAAACATTTGCTATAATTGCTATTACTACTGTGAAATGAAAGCCATGATTATTTTATACTCCTGAAAATACTGTGCTTCAAAGACAGTAATGTCGTGAATGCCTTGATGCTCACGTACTTGGGTGACCAGTAGTTATAAGAAGACAGCCCTTGCTCATCTGCCCAGGAAGTGACTACATGTATTTTTTGAGAACTTTGTTTCAGGAGAGTAAACGCAGTGTTTTGAACATAAAAGAAAACATTATAAAGGAATTCAGTTTCAGTAAAATTTAAACTGGGGTGGGGGGAACTATGGTATGTTTTTACAGACTTACAAGATAAAATTTAGAATTATATTTGATTATAAATATGATCATATTTAGATTGGTTTTTTTAACTTTGAAGATAGAAATTAAAATAAAAACAGCAATACCATTCTACTTGTGCCCTCTCCTCTAGAGTCAATCCGAGATGTTGTTGTTGTTGTTATGTGCCTTCAAGTCACTTGTGACTCATGGCGACTCTGTACAACAGCCCTAAACTCTGCTCTGTCCTGTGCCAATCGCACTGTCTCCAACACACCCATCCCGATTACCCCAGTCACTGAATCAATCCACCTCATAGATGGCCTTCCCCTCCTGGCGCTGTCCCTCCATCCTACTAAGCACGATGTCCCTCTCCAAGGAACTGTCCCTCCTTACAACATGTCCAAAGTATGTTAGATGGAGCCTCAGAATCCTTGCCTCCAAGGAGCCACCCGGTTTAACCCTTTCCAGATATGTGTTAAAAATTTAATGGTTTACTTTCTTTTTTTCTTGTTGTGCACCTCAAATATAATCCAACTGGCACAGGTAGAGATTGCCCTCCTTCTGCAGCGAAGCATCTGGTGGATTTGAACTGTGTGTGTTCGGGATTGCAGCGCAGCTTCTTGCCACTAGGCTAGAATTTAATATTTCAATATAGACCTTTAAGTGGCAATTTTAAGAAGCGGTTAATGGTAGTAGTCTGGAAAAATATCCATAAGCAAACCTTTCAAATGTTTTCACTATTTTGCAGGTATCTGTTCCTAATGAGTTTGATGTCATGTTTACACTGAAGGTCGAAAGAATTCAGCTAGATGAATATGGCAATAGTGGTGCTTATTATTTTGTGAAGTTCAAAAGAAATCCCAAAGGAAATCCTCTGAGTCCGTTTTTAGAAGAGGAAATATTGTCTGCTTCTAAGATGCTGATAAAGTTTAGGCAAATCATTAAGGAAGAAATTAAAAACATTGGAGGTAAGAGTTTTTGCCTTTTTGTTTTCTGTGAACGTCTAATCATATTTACTGTCTATGCACAGCTCTTTCTTTGTTTTTCTTGACTTCCCTGCAGCAAAATGTTGACTTATATCTCATTCTAGAAACAACATAAAGGACTTAAGTTTCACTAAAAAACTTTTCTTTTGGTTTCTCTCTTTTGAATTTTCTTGGCACTCTTCCTAATGTTGGTTGACTATTTCAGCCTTCACAGAATTTTATTAATCTCATGCCAGTGTCACTGGATGTTTATAGGTGGGGGGGTGGAAGTTGAGATTTCCCCTGGAAGCTTTTGATCATTAATTGTACGTGTTCAAACTACTGGGCTGGTGTGTGTTTTGCTCAGCTGCAACAAAAATTTAAATTATTTTTAAAAACCAGTTGGGACTGGAACACAAGAAAAGAAAAAAAACAAACCAAAAAAACCCCAAAACACACTTGAGACTTCCTGCCAGAGGACACTGCTGAGGAAGCATCTCTAAGTGGTTTGCCCCCGCTGCTGTAGCATCTAAGCCACAGTCTCCTAAAGAGCCCGAACAGTTGTGAAAACTATTCATTTGAGGGTTGAGCTTCGAAACAGAAAATCTGAGGAGCCATTCTGTGCAGTAGGGGATGCTCAAGGACTGTGTGGTAATGAGAGATCCAAACACCAAGCATTCCAGGAGCTTTGGGCTTGCTACAAGGTCAGCTGTGGACGAGGTGAATGGAAGAGACATGAATGCAGGGCCCCACAAAGTACATAGAAAGGTTGTGGAACCAAAGAGGGCTGTCTTAAGAGAAGATTCTTAAAGACCAGGTTCCCACTTAACTAACAAATATCTTTGCTGGTGGAATTAAAGAAGATACTGAAGAACATCACAAGATTATGCAGATGACACAACCCTGCTTGCTGAAACTGAGGAGGACTTGAAGCGCTTGCTGCAGAGGATTAAGGACTGCAACCTTCTATATGGATTGAGTCTCAATATCAAGAAAACAAAGAATCTCATCACTCGGCCAATTGGCAGCATCATGAAAGATGGTGAAGAGATTGAGATTGTTTATGGCTTTAGTTTGCTTGGCTCCACAGTCAACACTCTTGGCACCAGCAGCCAGGAAATTAAAAGACATATTGCAATGGGAAGGTCTACTGTTAGGGACCTCTCCAAAGTACTGAAGAGCAATGATGCAATTCTGGAGATGGAGGTACACTTGATACAGGCCATGATCTTTGCAATTACTTGCTATGCATTAGAAAGCTGGACAAAGACTAGGAATTATAGAAGGAGAATTTATGCCTTTGAACTGTGGTGTTAGAGAAGAGTATTGAATAATACCATGGACTAAGAAAATGAAAAGGCTTGTCCTAGAAAGGGTGAGACCAGGCTGCTCCTAGGAGGCTAGGATTCTGAAGCTTCATCTGACATATTTTGGACATGTTGCAAGGAGGGACCAATCCTTGGAGAGGGATGTCATGCCTGGGAGGGTGGAGCGACAGTGCAAGAGAGGAAGACCCTCTATGAGGTGGATTGATTCAGTGACTGGGGTAATAAGGGTAGGTGTGTCAGAGACAGTGAGATTGGCACAGGATAGAACAAAGTTTAGGGCTGTGGACATAGAGTCGCTGTGAGTCACAGGCGATTTGATGGCACATAACAACAACAACAACATGACAAAATAAAATGATTGAAAAAAATGACTGATGGAGACTGTGGCAAGAAGACGGGCTTTGTTTTTCTAACTTTTTAAAATGATACTAGTTTCTTTACAAAATTAGAATACATTGTTTTCCAGAACAGATTCTTCCAATTCCCCTCACCCTGCCATCAAACTGTACAACCCCATGATTAATCTCCCCCTCCCCATGCATGTCCTCATCTCTCTGCTTCCACCCTCCCTCACCCCCCTTAGATCCTTCTACTCATTCTCCAGTAATGGTTTTATACAATATTTGTCCTTGTGGGATTGATTTAGTTCACTTGGCATAATGTTGTCCATCCCCTCCCAAGTTTTTTACTCATGCTCTTGATTGCTAAGTGTAATAATGCACCTTCGTCTCCAGACTGACATCATTGCTTTTTAGTACTTCGGAGAGGTCTGTAACAGCAGGCTTTCCCAATGCAATTTGTCTTTTTATTTCCTAGCTGCTGTTACCAAGATCATTGATTTTGGAGCCGAGCAAGCTGAAACTGTTGACAATCTCTCCAGTGTTACAGGTTTATTTTCTTATATTAAAAACCCATACTGGAAAAAAAAACTGTTGACAATCTCAATCTCTTCACAATCTATCATTATGCTGTCAGTCAGACCAGTGGTGAGAATCTTTGCTTTCTTGATGTTGAACTTCATATTGAAAGATATAATCATTTCATGATGATGCTGAATGAATGTATTTTTTGTTGTTGTTGTTATGTGCCTTCAAGTCACCTGAGACTCATAGCGACCCTATGTACAACAACTCTAAACCCTTCTCTGTCCTGTGCTAATCTTATTGTTTCTGACATACCTACCCCCATTACCCCAGTCTCAATTAATCCATCTCATTGAGGGTCTTCCTCTCTTGTGCTTACCCTCCACCCTCCCAAGCATGATGTCCCTCTCCAAGGACTGATCCTGCCTTGCAACATGTCCAAAGTATGTCAGATGAAGCTTCAGAATCCTTGCCTCCAAGGAGCAACCTGACTTCACCCTCTCCAGGACGAAATTGTTTGTTCTCCTAGCAGTCCATGGTATATTTAATATCCTTCTCAAGCACCACAGCTCAAAGCACTAATTCTCAAAAGGGCCGAACTCACTCAGCATTTCTTAAGCTCAAGGAACTGAAGAACAAATTCAAACCTAAAGGTGCTATAATCAAGGATGCTTTAGGCAGAATATTAAATGATCCAGGAAGTATTAAAAGCAGATGTAAGGAATATACTAAGTCATTGTATCAAAAGGAATAGGCAGACACAGAAGAATTTAATGAAATAACATATGAGTAAGAGCCTATGGTGATGAAGGAAGAAGTTCAAGCTGCTGTGAAGGAAATAGCAAAAAATAAGGCCCCAGCAATAGATGGTATACCAATTGACATAGTTCAGCTAACAGATGCTGCCCTGGATGTGCTCACCAAGTTGTGCCAAGAAATCTGGAGAACAACCACTTGGCCAACTGACTGGAAGA